TTAACTTTTAATCTTCCACGCCGTGACGTCAAAGGCGAAAAGCTTCGCAACAGCAGCAGCTTGGAAAGCAATTAAGTACAAGCGGCGCGGCCGTGCGTTCACCGGCGCGCGGGTAGCACGTGCCAAGAAAACACGCAGGACGCAGGCTTTTCCACAGGTGACTCACTTATACAAATGCGCGGCATTTTCCAACGCGATGCCTTGCCACTGCGAAACTCCAGAGGTGTACAGAAACAAAGGCTCCATTACAAGCGAGTCTCGTGCGTGATTGATATATGTACGCAGAAATCAATAATCTCCCCCCCCCCCCCCCCGCCTTCGAACTAAGTGCACTTTGAAATGATCGGCCAACTATGTTCACTCTCGTTTCGTTCTTCAAGAAAGAAACCGAAAGATGGTTTTGTTTTTTATCGATACTAAAGCAGGAAAGGTTGAAGATCTCTGGCACTCGGTGAGGCGTTTAATTTATACGTTCACTGGCCTGTTGCATCGTAAAGGCCGAGGATGTGCACCGGGGGGAAAGGCGAGCTTTGGTCGAGCGTTTCTGAAAACGCTTCAGAGTGTATAATACAAAAGAGTTAAATTACTTTTTTTTTTTTTTACGAAATGAATGATTCATGCGATCTGACGCGATTAATGAGTCAAATAGTAACATTAATTTTTCGCTGTTTCAGATAATTGCGTGAAAGAAAAAGCTAGCATGTCCTACAAAATTAAATAAGCGAAAAAAACAATATATAATAAAATAATCTTCAACAATGTCATACGCACTTGGCGACCTTGCGAGTTCCTTGCTGTATATTTTTTGTGTTTTATTTGCGTTATCGAAAATTGACGTGACTTGTCAGTCGATAATACGACCAAAGTGACCAGAAGTTTCGCATGCGTCTTTATCACGATAAATAATATATATAATAGAATACTCGAAAGCAATTATTCTTAGAATTTGTAATTTTACTGGAGTTAAAGTGCATTTTTGAGAAATCGAACAAACTTTTATCAAAAGTTTACAATTGTGATCTTAAAACTTTCTTGATTATTAATCAAGATTACGGGAAGAGAAAGAAATAGTTTGAAAAGTTTGCATCAGATGCAGCAATGTGGAATTACTCGTCGACCACGTGGATGGCACACCGGCAGCGTTTAAATCGCCGTAAATTTGGCAACAGCGCCAGGCGTACGGGTCATCGCGCGATTGAAGCCTCAGGCGCGTAGATACCACCGGGAGCATCTCCGGCTTTCACGAATTAAGACATTTTTTTTTCGGTGAGCTTACAATAAGGAATGGTTTTTGAAAAACGATGATGTAAAATGAATATTATTTATCTCTTCCTAAGTTTGCGATATCAGTTGGAGAAAATTATGCTATCTTATTATATATAAAGAAAATCTAATATATATCAAACTTATGAATCATATCGATGCATCTTAAGAGATCATTGTCTACGAGAAAAAAGCACGTAATTGATAAACCAATGTTATCTCACTCGCGTAAAGTTTCAAGCGGATGCGCAATAAAATGATGCATATGTGCGAGTAAAATAACTCGCCAAATTTAAACTGCCTCGTTCGTAATTTTCGAATTACAAGAAAGATATATTGAGCTCAGCACTATTTTCATTATCGTATGCACATTAAAAAAACTGCAGTGTACCGTCCTTGGTGCGCTAAAAACATTTTCCAGGGTGGTGTGTGGTGTTATAAAAAGTTCTTTTTCTTTGGAACTGGCACGATGAATTTCTTTGATCGACTGTGATTTTTTTTTCTGAATGTTAAAAAAACATATGATAACCAACTTTTTTGTTCGACGTATATGTGCGTGATATTTATAAATTTAATTTACGGAGTTGACATTTTTATTTCAGCGGTGATGTAGAGATGCAAAAAATTGAAGAATTTCTACTAAAATAATTGTATGAACTACAAAAAAAATACTGAACAATTTGAAAAAAAAAACATATTTTGATAGCTTATGAAGGTCAGTACTATTTTAATTTGAACATGTTATTTCTGGGTAAACATATAATCTATTATCGCTCCGTGTTAATTATAGGTTATGTATCTTGCTTACAACTATTAAAAAATGTAAGTAAACATTATTCGCCCAATTCAAATCAATAAAGTCACTTTAAAGACTTCCAAAACATACTTATCTTGTACCAAGAAACATAAGTAATACAGATGACTAGTTAAGATGTGAGATCTATCCCGTAACATACCTAACCTAAAAAAAAAACCTAAAAATAATACTAAAACACGAAAGGTCTCTATTTTATATAAATAAATACTTGAGCGGCATTTGCGTTGCGGCAAAGATTTTTCGCCTTGTGCGTTCGTAAAGAGTGCGAGACAAGAGAACACGAAAATCTCTCGAGCGATGCAATAATAATAACCCGTGCATGTTATTCCCATTTCGTTTCGCGCGTGTGCGCAGCTTCTTGTTCTCACTCGCACGCTTTTCGCGTATCCAATTTCGCTGTTTCTGCCGTCTTTTTTGCTCATCGTAAATACAGCTTGACGCTTCGCAGAGACATTAATGGGGTGCTTGATGAGTCGCCTTTGCTTCGGGTAATTAACTGATTGTACAGATTATGTAGATCGACACATTCCGAAGACAGATTGTCGAAACTTGATAAAAATTGTTATACATATTTTACCAAAAATTCGTCAATTGTAAAAATCCAACTCAAAGAAGAATTTGATAAACAGAAGAATGTCTCGTTAAATGGGTTTTTTGTTAAAACAGCAATGAAATGTTCATATTTCTATTCCTCAAAGAAAAATCATAACGTAACAGGCAAGCGGGTAAACGATTGGTATAACCACCTTGCATATAAGTTTATCAAATATGTATTTTCCAGATGCATTGTTGCACGCGTCAATCCATAATCAAGAGCACTAAAGAAAAAAAAGTGAAACGAGGTTTGCAGACCTCTATGGAAGGCCGTCGATAAAACAGGCATAGGTGTTGCGCTGCTATCTAGGCGAAGAGAGTGATGCGAGACTTATAAATCGTGACGACCTTGCGAGGAATTCTTTGATCGAGGTTCATATATACTTGCTCATGACTTTTATTTTTGTAATAGTTAACGGCTGGTTACAATGGTTAATGTTATGTTTGATTGTTTATGATAGTTTCCGGGATGTACTTTGATTCTGATTCTGTTTTTTTTTTTATGCTGAAAATTGTTGTTAAAAATTGAGGGAAATTTATTAATAAGTATTTAAGAACATAATGTTATTAAGTACTTTCTATCTTAAAAATTCTTAAGTACTTTTTATCCAAAGAGTATTCGATAAGTAAAAAATAAAATCCAATTTTCCGAAATCCATAAAAATCTAATTAAATCGAAAATATTGTCAAACCAAACCATTTATTTTCTAGAAACACATCCGTTAGCGTGAAATACTTTCTTCGACTTTAATCGTTGCACGACACGTAATATGCCAAAGTAATTAGTACTTTTCAAGTCACAGCCATACTAGTCCTTGTAAACGGAATCACAAAAATCGCCTATCGTCAATCGTCAAGTATCAGTCTATATCAGGGAATAGAGCGTACCAATATGGGCGACCTGCATGTAATGAAGGCCGTCAAGAAAAAGTTCTTTTTCGCGCGATCGCTTAGACATTTGAATTTGGCGGGCCTTGGCATCGATGCGCCTTTCCTTGATTTTCAAAGAATTCAAATTGATGCGGGCAAGCAGACGATTAATTACGCAATACGATGGGGGTATTTTTGGAGTTCATAAAATACCGTTTCTACTGTTTGTTGTTGCATAGTAGTTAGATTGAAGTAGGACGTTGCTTTAAATATTTTTTTAGGTCTTGAAAGAATAAAAGTGACTCAGTTTTACTTGTTAACTTTGTTTACATCAGTTTCATTTTGAGTAAATACAACATTCATCGCAATTCCGAATGATACGAATTGTAAAAATACAGAAAACAGATTATTTTATCCTCCTGACTTAATTAATAGTTACACCGTTTCCTTTTCCTCTTTTACGGCTTCAAAAAATATCTCAAGGAAAGCAAATCTGGAAAAAATACCGTTCTCATAAATTACATAGCTAACAAACGTTTTTTTTTTCATTCGAAAAGACTTACGTGGTCGTTAAATTTATTCCAGTTTCGGTGTAAAGTGTGCGGGGATCGCGTAACTGGCAAGCGGGGCTGTAATTTTGAATTTCAAATGATAAAAATTGACGCGCCAAGTGAATTCACTATTAAAAAAAAAAACAAAAGAAGACATTTTCGAAAGATTTTTCAGTATCGCACACATGCCAGATATGAATTTTCAAAAAGTTATTTTTAGCACAGAAAAATATTTTGTCCAAACGTTCCACTGATAAATTTCAACATTCCATCGGTAATCGCTCCCTTTCAGTCTAAACCAGCTGCATTTCGAAAGTCAAAAGATCGACGATGACAGCACAAAGGAGAAAAAGAAATAAAAAAATAAAAGAAAGAACGCAGACACGAGACCATCGGCGAAAATAAACGGCGTGCAAGGGAAAGAGAGAGAAAGGGTAAAAGAGACGATCGCCGACCTTGGGATCTGGTCAGCGGGTCAGTGGCTCGCGTGGGCGTTTAAATCGCCAAAGCAGTGCCAATAACCCTTCCGAGAGCACGTTTTTTTCGGTATTTTGTTTCGCCGCGGTTAAGAAGGTCGTAAATACGGTTGGAACGAAGAGAGGTTTGATTTTTCGGCGGCGAGAAAACTAGTGTATTTCTCTTGACTTAAATATATACATATATACGCGCACAGATTTGACGAAAGTGAGAAAGTTCTCAAGTGTACTGAATGAATAGTTCTTGCTGATAAAGTTGTTTATTGCAATACGTAGACTGAATTATACAGACTGCTTTTACAAAACTGTTACATGATTTTTCTAGCCTTAACGAAGTGTCGTTACTTTTAATTGCCACTTTTCATCCGAAGAAGTTCGCTTGTTCGAAAATATTATAAAATTTAAAATGATTAATTAACTAGCTTTGATCGTACTTCGTAACGTAAAGTCCCGTTGCGTATTTTTAGGACAAGAAAAGCTATGAAGTCGTTTAAATTTAACAGTAATAAATTCGGTATTATGAATGAGGTATGCGTGCATATCTAATTACGAAGTTCAAATCTGTCGTGGTAATTTTAGATTAAAAAAACATATTTCTTTTTTCTCATAGGTCAACCCTAACGACCACGAAAAAAGCGAACGAATCCATGTAAACCGGAAGCCGCGTGCACGCAGTTCGCAATTGTGCTTGCAGGCGTAACGTAAAAACCGAAAAGAAACGCTAACTGACTCATCGCGTCGTCAATTAACAGCGGATAAAAAGTGCCTTAAAAATCCGTCAAGGTCGCGCGATTTCGAGACACACTCGCTGAGAGTGAGAAAGAAGGATCGACGCGCGAAAAAAGAACGAGGTCGTCGCTCGCTGCGCCTTTGTCGTTAGAGAAGCTATTTTTGCCGAAGACAGGGCATTTTTTCATCTTCTAAATATTCGCAGCACCGCTCAACGCTTTGTTTATCTTGATAATCATGACATTTGCCAAACTTACATAGCGCTTAATTACTTCCCTTCTCTCTCTTTCGTCTTCGGACTTATTTTTTACGCGCGTAGGCGAACGTCTGAGGCGCATATCCACGTTCGTCTGTCTGTTATCAGCCGAAAAAGAAAGAGCAAGAAGCTTAATTGGCTGCCTTTATTCTGTCGCGGATTTCATCGCTGGAAATGTACTTGTGAGATCACAGATATTTATAATCTTTCGCTTAAGGATTATATGCGCGCGAACAGTCGATTCGAAGAAGTTTGCAACAAAGAGGCGCAATATCATCATCATCGATGTTTCATTTGGAAAGTTAGCGCGCACTGCCCGGGGCAAATTATCTATGTAAAAATTCGCAACGAAGCGCAGTAATTTTCTTCGGCGGCGCATTCTCATGTCTGCTTATTGTTTAAAGACGCGACTGCGCGACTATATCAACAAATAAAAAGTGCTCTTTAAGGAAACGAAAGAGAGGTGTGTGTGTAACTTGAAATAAAATCGTCGGTTAATGATGGAGCAAGATTTTCTCTCGAGTCTTTTGAGCCTTACACGCAACAACGGGAAGGAAATCGAATATAAGTTTATTTTCTCCTTTTTCGATTCCACCACGCGCCGAGCATAGCTGGATTACCTCGTCTCAACAAAGACATAAGGGAGTCAACTATGTTGATGTCGCCAAAATTGTTGCTCGACGATATCAATTAATTATCAGTGCTGATTCGCTCTATCACGACAATATTATAATGTATTGCAATATTATTCATTGCTTTGGAAAATTTTCAAAGTCCTACTTCTATGACTACAAAAGCTTGTTACTCATTAGACACATTCAGACAGAGACACACATTAATTCAGAGTAATTTTGTTTTCACAGGAATCCTGTCAAGATAGTACCTCTTGGGTGAGCTCAGCAGGTCCAAAGCTGTCATTGGTTGTCTGCGAAGGTTGTGGCGGATCCGGTGAGGTGGTATTCCGTGCATCATCAGTGGCATTGTTGACAGCAGCACTTGGACCAGCTTTGTCATCAATGTTCAGTAAGTATGCATGAATGTCATTGTGCGCTGCATTTATTCTATTGTATCTGCCTAAAGCATTCAAGTCTTCAAACAAATCTCTCTCATAGTTGAGTAGTATGGAGTCAAGATTTTTGGGATGTACGAAAGCTGGCCTATGAACTATAGTATGCGAATCAGTATGCCAACCAGAACCATTGTTCAGATCCAATGAACCAACTCCTATGGTTTGTATATCTAGGCCAAGATATGAGTCAGGATCTACTCTCAATAATGAGAGTATCAGAGCAAGTTGAAGCAGCTCATCACTGTAGAATTTCTTGAGGTTGAGCATGTTGTGTTTGTCAGTTGTATTATAAACTTATTAGTTGAAAACTATCACAGAAATACACTTGTGCAACTTAACTTGATATTATTTATATAAAATAGTCCTTGTATCTAGATAAACTTTTTTTATCACAGACACCAAAGGTTTCTAAAATTATTACTAAATTTGTTTTTTGTCACAGTGGTTTCGCTCTCATATTGACCACTATGAGTTTGTGAAACATTTTGGAAAATGTTTCTCCTTTGCACTTTCTCGATGAAAAAACACTTTTACTTTGAATTCTTATCACATGAAGTTGTTAATTTTCCAGCACCTGAAACAAGAATACGATAAACACGTAAAAATAACTTATACATTGATAAGACATTGCATTGTTAATAAAAACGACATTTGGAAGAATCATTCGGAGCAAAAAGACGGTGACTTACGAAACTACATAAATTTATGAAGAAACTCATTACAATTACACGATGAGCAAGCACAAAAATTGACAAAGGTTCACTCTGGAAAATTCTACCACCGGTGCGTGTACAAACATATGTGTATATAACACAAACTGAACGTACCTGCTTATTGTATTGTATGCGTATAGGATCAGCTGATCAGACAGGCCGGGCGGTCACCACGCGAATGCTAGTTTTGTGGAGTTGAAAAGCCAGTCGGCAGCACAGAGGCGGTGTCTCCACATGCGACTCCCACTTCTCACTCTCTTTTTTTTTCCTTCCGCTCTCGCACAGCACTCCAAAATAACCTCGGATCCTTTTGAATTTCCCGCTCTTGCCTTCGAAGGCGCGCTCGCTGACACACGTCTACGGCATTCTCGCGAGCCAGAAAATAAGCACACACACTACATATACATATATAGAGATATATATACACGATTCGCTTGCTCCAAAAATTATTCGTACTGCGCGTTGCGACCGACAAGCGCGACAACGTGGGCTTCACTGAGCTAACACGTAGGTATATACCAGTCGCGCGTGTGACTCAGCAAGCTTACCCTGCGTGCGCGCGCGCGCGCGAGAGAGAGAGGAAGAGAGAATACGAGCAGGGACGTAGCGTTGCTCCGGACGTGCCCCTCCGCCGCACTGGCTTTGTTTTCTTCTTGCTACATCGACTCTCACAATAGACAAATTCGATATCTTGCGACAGGTGCGCGCGTAGACTTTTCATCGCCGTCGCTTGCACGACACCGTTAGAAAATTTGGTGTACCGTTAAAGCGACTTCTTCGTCCAAACGGGGGGCATCAATACACTACTTTTTGAGGGATTTTCAAGAGTTTTAGATTTTTTTTTTTTTACTCTTGATGTATATTCTCTGCGGCTTGCCGTGAGTTTTCCGTTTTTTTTATCCCTCGGATCGTGCATTTTTCGGAGCGTGCTATATTAACACGATCTGCGTAGAAGCGAGAAGCGAGAATAAAAAACGATGCTCCGAGCGATTGGAATTCAAACTAGCGCTTCATTGATTTGTCCTTTACGAAACTCAATTTTACTTTGCCCGTTGGAGAACATTTCGCCGCGATCTATCGAGTCTGACAGACGCAGGATTGTAATAGGCGAACTCGCGCGTTCGCGTTATCTCGATTAAATTTTGGTTCGAACGGAAAAAAAAAAAATTGACACGTGACCTTTTGAAATCCTCGTTATAGGAACAAAAAGTCGATTGCCGTCGGCATTACTCTGCGTCAAGTCATACGGTCGCACAATAGCTGAAACTCGTTTAGCGAAAAGGAAAAAAAATCAAGGACTTCATATAGTTAAGCAAACATCTAATGGCTCGGCGCGAGCAAAGTGAAAGCCAACGTCCTCGAAACAACTGCCATCTTCATCACCGAAGAAATTCGCGTAATGCCGTGTGCACTTGGCTAATTACAGTGGACAATCTGGTTTTTCGAGAGCGCGTGCGAGAACCCGCTTTTCAGGCGACCGACGGGTGTCGAAATCGTGAATTTTAGTTAAATACGTATATGAAAGTTACACGAAAAACTGGACATTTAGACAGCGGAAGTTTAACCGACTGCTGGTCGAGTGTCTTTTGTTTACTCGTTTCTAAGAGGAAATGACCTTGATGCTGATATTTTTTTCTCTATATAAATACTCGTATGCTATTTTTTTAAGTACTCGTTGTCATGAGCCTTCGCGGTGTTCAAATTACGCGTGGAAAATTAAGGCTACCACGACGTAATAGCAAGACTAAGATACAATTCGATGTTGCTTTGTTCTAATCTTAATTTTTCGTACGCGTGCTAGCATAAAAACGAAGAGCAGCGATTTTCGTAAGTTTCATTTTGATATAATCGCCCGGTAAATTACGCCTAATCGTCATCGATATTGCACTTTGGACATTTTTACTTCCCATCAGTTGATCTTACGATTATTCAGCGTTGCCTTATGATTCAGCGTTGCCCCTGGAAAATGTTTTTCTCTCGGGGTCCCACACGCAGATCGCCGCGCTACGTTGACACGCGGAATAACTTTTGGCTATCCCGAGAGAAATTTTTTCAGCGGGGCAACTCGGATCTTACGCGCATCTCAGAAATATTCACTTCGGCAATATAAGAAAAACAATGCACGTTACGAAACGTACGTCAGCTCGCGGTACAGACTCTGCATACGACGCAATAAGCCAACATTAATAATTACTGATAAATGGTAGCAAAATCATCAATAACGCAGTTAGCGGGAAAAATATGCGCAGCAGCGGAAGATTGACAGATAGAGGGTAAAAGCTTCATCGAATCAATCGTATTAAAGCATTCGATCGCCACTACGTTGTCTACCTTACCATCGTATGCCGGCAATGCAGTCATTCTTTTCCCTTTCCATCGTCGCGTTTCTTTATTATTATTGTTGTTCTGGTGGATTGAAAATAACTCGCTGGCGATCGTTGCCGTTACGCAACGAATCTTTCAGCGCTCGCTTGTTAATGTTTAACTTTGATATCACTGGTATCGGGCCTGTCGTAAGGGCGCGCGCGCGCACTACAGCAGTGGCACACGCTTAGTTGCAACGCGCCGTCGAAACTACATTCCATATGGCGCTACCGAAACGCTTCGATTGTCAACGAACGAGGAGCAGTCGTTAGCCGCGAGCTGCTCGTTAGAGCCGCGATGAGCCTCGATACCAGGGCGCTGAAAAATGCCATTAGCGCGCCGGCACTCGTGTAGAAATTAGCCGAGCGTCGATGGCAATCGGCGCGCGCGCCGATGCACAACGACGTCCCGGGGCAGAGCGTCGAGAAAAGAAAGAACAAAATCGAGAAGAAGAATACGCAGCGGCGTACGAAGAAGCGCGCCTCCGCGCATTGCGCAATTCGCGCGTGTGACATCAGCGCTAAAATCATTAGACGGAAAGTCTAACGTGTTTGCCCAGCAGCGTCGAGCGGATCGCTCGCCGCGGAAACTGAAAATAATTCATACTTTTCGAGTGTTTTCCTGCGATATCGTGCTCTCGTGGTGCGCGCGCTCTTATCGCGCGTCATTTATCAATCGTCTGCCTCGCGTGTATCTTCGTATCTGCCTCTTTTTTTCTTTTCCTTTTTTTTCTTGTTACAATCGGTCGTAGAGGATAGTTATTTAGCCGCGGCCAATTACGTCAGCCACGACGATTCGGCCAAAATCGCGACAGATAGCGGGAAACCGGTTCGCTGGTCGAGCGCGCGCACGTATGCGACGTCTCTCTCGTTCGCGTTCATTTCCCTCGCGCTTCGATGGATAATTCGCAAAATCACACTCGCGAGGGGGCGGGAAGGGTGGGTGGGGGGCGGGGGGGGGGCGTCACCAGTTCCCGCGGCGTGCAATTTAAGCAGCTGCGCATAAGTCGCGAGAACGACATTCCCGGCGCAAATGCACACGCACGCGTACTTTCACTCCGACGTACGTAGTGAATCCGTCTCTGAGCGAGGGCACACACAAATCATCCTCGGCCTCGTCCGCGCGAAACGGCAGCAAACACGAGCGACGCAAGCGCACTGACTCACCTCGGGCTCGCCGGAGCTGTCGGAGCCGCTGCCGCTACCGCCGCCGCTGGTCCGCAGACGCTTGGCTTCGGGTAGGACTTGGCTACCCGGTGACAGCGGCCTCATCCGCGGCAGATCCTCCGTCATCATCATCCTGTCTCCCCCGGGATGGCGATCCTTGCTCGCAAACGACCGTGTCCGCGCGAAAGCGAGTGCGCGCTGCTGCTGGCTCGGCGCGAGCGTGTTATTTCCTTAATTGAGAGGAGCAGCGAGCAGCGGCAGCCACTCCGCGTCTGAAGCAGATACGCCTGTCCCCACTTCTGGCGCGCGCTCACTCTCTCTCTCTCTCTCTCTCACTCTGTCGCATTCAGATAGCGGACGACCTTAACTCACAGGCGCGATCGCACGCATACGCGAGTCGCTCTGCCTGTCCAGATTCGAATTCTCGCGGTCTCTCGCGCGATTCGAATTTGCCGCGCCGCGCGCTCTCCGATCGCCGAGCTCGCGTACATCTCGACACGGCGCGCTCGATGCCATCGTCGCGAGCAGGAGCCGGTCGATCAACGACCAAAGGCCACGCTCTCGCACGTAAAACGATATTTCGCGGCACGCCAAGGAGGAACTGAACAAACGCAGGTCTCGTGTACATTCATGTCGTATCTATCTCTCGCCGTTCGGTCGCACAGTAGTGGGAGGAGCGCTCTACTCTCTCTTCTCTTTCTGTGTTCTGTTGTCCTTTTTTCTTTTATTTTTTAACACGTGCGCTACTCAACGGTTATTGGAAGATGCGTTGTCTCTACCATGCTTCGGTCGCGATAAAAACAAAACGAATGCGTGCGCACTTTACTTTTCCTTTCGAACGGACGCGATCGAGTAAACCGGATTTTTTTTTTCGCGAGGGAGGCTTGAGATTCAATTGATTCGGGTATTTACGTAGTTGGGATGATTTTGAGGAGATTCGTTGGGCGAATGCGCGCACATTTTTTTTTAACCCGATCGCACCGATATTGCATGTTTTTATGTCACATCGAGTGCGATGGCAATCTGATCTGAGGTTTTATAACGACATCGCAAATTTTGACATGAAGATAGCGAAGCTGCAATTTTATTACGGAGTTGTAGCTCGTAAAATTCTTTATTGGATTTGAGTTATCATCACGAATAGTTGAATTTTAATGATAGACTTGTATCTTAACGAAACATCGTGTACAATCATTACTTAGATTAATACTGTATAGTAGCTAAAAAAAAAGTTGCCGATATGATACGTTAAACGACTAAAATCTCGTAAGTAAGCGAAGAGAAAGGAAAGTGAAAAAATTATTTTTTATTTTATAGTATTTAAGTGATAACATTGAAGGACACGGCTTTGATAAAACGATATATTTTCAAAATAAATCAAGGAAAATTTTGTGACCGACAAGGCAGTAAAAGATGCTTTCAAATAGACATTTTTCATGGATGATTTCTACGTAGTTGAACTTGATTTACATAATCGAATTATACGTCAAGGTCAATAACATCAAAACATACTATTTTATGATTTATTGTTATCAATTTATATTTGCATAAGGACCTAAAAAATAATAATATCGTAACCGAGAAGTGAATAGGCATTCAATGGCTGACCGATAACGATTAATAGTGTAACGGCTAGCCGTAGCTTAGTTTTTTTTTATATTTAATTATTAAATATGACGAACAGAGTGGGAACCTTCCTGATTTCCCACGATGAAAACGCATTCGAAATATAAACTTTGATAGTGGCCCGAGCCTGCGTACTCAAGATTACAATCAACGCTCTATCCTGCTTTGTCCCACACGTATGTGTTGACAGGGGCCTACGATCATCGCGTATACATCGTGAAGTGTTATCACGCTGATAATGGAAGGGGACCATAAAAATGTAGTCTATCTTTTTTTTTCTCACCGATTTTTAAGAAAATATTCGTAATATTAAATAGATTTTCATCAATTTTGTAAGCCATTATAATGCGCACCTTTTTGTCACCGAATAACCAATAAATAGAACAATAATGTATTTTATAATAAATCGTAAAAGGTTTGAATTTTTCTGAATGCTCATAATAGTCACTATGTATCGTCATAATTAATTAAGTTTAGTACAATTATGTATAAGTAATTATAAGCTATAGCGTTACTCTTGCTCTTAAAAGTGGCACTCCGAGAGCCATCTCTGGAGAAAAGGGCCCAAGTTAAAAAGGGACCGCCCTTTCTCTCTCTGAAAATTCACGCCCACAGACCAATAAAGAAATTCTGGATATGATTAGAAAATTTCCCACCAATACAAAATTTAGCCGTTATCGCTTCATGGGCCTGAGGAAAGGGATTTCCACCCAACCACCCACGGCTTATAAAAAGCTCTGTACAAGGCTGGAGAGCAAGTTAAGTCAAGTTAAGTTCAGTCAGATAAGTTAGAGGAAGTCAAGTTCAGATAGAGTAAGTGCGGAGTGAGCACCAGGAAGTCCCTAATAAGAAGTTTTTACCAGTGAGTGAGTCCCGGAGGAAGCATCAAAGAAGAAAAATCACCCAAGTATATTTAGAGCAGATAGAGAGAGAAAGAGGCCAAAGAGCAGAGAGAACGCAACTTTAATAATAACTAAATTGATAAAATAAAAGTAAGTAAAATTTTAAACCTGGCTATCCTTTTCTTTCTTTAAATAATCCGCCTTTCTTTTGGAAATTCATTAAGCGTGAGTCTGGTGAATTTCCATTAAAGTCCCTTAAGAACACATTAAGCGTGAGTCTGGTGTGTTCGTAATAACATTTGGTTATTACATTCCGTGTTAGCATACAGTTTTCTCAACGCAACAATATTGCTCGTCCCGGCTTGTGTGTTACACGATAGCCAAATCAGAGCAACCCTGAGTTTACGCTTGCTCCAAGCGTACCTGAGAGTGACCCCGACGTCACAATAGCATTCATAGACAGAAAGAAATGGTCAGCTAATTAAAAAGATCGCGTCGCGGATGCGATTTGGAACAAAGGGGAAAAATTGGTAATGCAGAATGAAAACTTAGTTTGATTTACTTTAAACATATAATCTATGTATATTTAATTTGTACGCTCGTACATTGTGTCTCGGATAGCACGGCTTCACATTTTCTTTTTGGTTCGTTCAAATACATTCTTCTCGTTCACACAACAAAATATCTATGACAACATTGTACCGTAGTCCATGAGCATCGTCACTTTGTCATTATACACGGTGTTGGTAATTACGCATGGTATAGATTTTTTTAAATAAGAGACCTTTTGCGTATATGAGTAATTATAAACGGCGTTTTTTTTTTCATTTCACTTCCGGAGCGCCAGTAACGAAATTTCGAACGCGATTTTCCTTTTAAAAATAATAGCTTATGGAACTCGAGAACTGGATGTAAATTCGAAAAAAGTCGTTCGAAATCGCATTACGCACATTCCTCGTACCTGCATTTTCATTGTTATTTTCGGTTTAAAAGTTATTTAATAATACGATCTATACTCTAAGTTAATACTCAGAACCCTTTCGCTCCGTCTTTTTTTCACCACTGCACAAAATACATATATGCTTGGTATATGTATACATACGTCTACAATAATTCATAATAATGCATAATAATCAACTCTTAACCTGGTGTCCAGTCTTAACGTGTGAATAATCGCATTATTTTTTTCTTTCTTCTTCCTTTCGTGTTTGTATTTAATATACCACATTCGCGCAATCGACTTGCAAAATATGCGGTATAAAGAAGTTGAATAATTTCCATGCGCTGTTTTCTTATCTTTCGAATTGTGAATTTTTTTTTTTAACTTTTTGGCATCAAATATTGAAAACGGACTTGTCGCTACTTATTTTTTTAGTGTGTACAGTTTTAAGCCTAGAAATGACTAAACAAAGTTTTTTACCTGGTCTTTTTAATATGAAAAATGCTCTAATATATCTTACTCTCGCTTGTATAATCATTCATAGAAACAACGATTTTCTATGGCAGTTTTACAGTTTTCTTTTTTTTTTTATTGTGAACAAATTTTTTCGATGGTATATATAAAGCAGTATATAGACAAAATTAATTAAAAACGAATACATATAATAAACATATAACAATAAATTAGTAAGTTAAGTGAGAATAAAATGAGTTTAAGTTAAGAATAAATGAAACGATAAGAATTATTCACACAACTGTTGGAGAACAAATATACTGATTGAAAAATTCGATAATGTTGGTAACAGCACCTTAGAAGAAAGAAATATCTTGTCTCAAAGAGTTAAAATTACAAGTGTAGTCGGCGTAAGTTAATAGGCCCACAAAAATCCATACCGCAATATCATTTCTCTCTCTCTCTCTCTCTCTCTCTCTCTCTCTCTCTCTCTCTCTGACAACTCTCTCGCTCGCACTAACGATTTTTTGTCAATAAAGAAAAAAGTTTTTTTTTTCTAGTTCAACCTTTACCTCGTTCAGTGAAAAAATAGTCTATTTACAAATGTTCAAGGGAGAGATTAAATATCTTTTAATATTATTTTTTAAAAGCTTTTTCTTTCCTCTTTTGTGCGTCAATTCGTAGTTTATATTTTTTTGTCTTATATCGTTATATCAAAATCTAGAGATTTTTGTTTGTTCGTTTTTTAACGAATCCAAACGAGACGCACGTGTAAAAAGAATCGAGTGGAAGAGAAAAAAAAAGAAGCGAGTAGAAAAAGATTCGTTATGTGTTATATAAAATCGGAATTATTTACATTGTTACGATGTGCGTGTAACCCAAATTCAGAAAATCGCGCCCGTACGTGTTACTTTTTTTATAGATCGTGCGAAAACAAGTAAAGTATAAAAGAAAAGCTTTTACAAAAGTGTAGAAAAAGAGCTCATCATCGCCGACGATCAATAAATTTAACAAAGCGGACGGTGTAGGGTGAGAGGAGAGTCGGAGGTATACAACACATCACAGGCACACACACGTACAGTATATATTTATATATATCTCAATTGTTTCACAACTATCGACATTTTCTCCCACACTCTCGGACATTTACATATCTGCCTATTTATAGCGAGTATCCAATGAAAAAGTAACTAGCAGTTAGAAAGATTAGTAACTATAATTCTATATAAACGACTGTCATCTCTTTTTGGTGTTGGCGGTGTTTCCTTTTTTCTTCAAGGGGAAATTCGGATTCCACCTCAAACTGTAGGTTCAGTCATAATGCATGTAAAAATTCTCCTCCCACAACCGTGCAAAAGTAGTAGGGGAGGGCCTGGTTGCATATCTCTCATGACTTTAGGGATCCAAGACTAATGTGGACAAATATTTAGTGTAGCTCTGCAGCGTTTAAAACGAACGTAGTTCTTAAAATAACAATATCAAGAAAAGAACAAAAGGAATTGGGTGAAATCACAGAATAACACGTGTACCAAGATATATATGTGTACCGATCATCGAACGGAATCAAGTGGTTTTCTTTTTTTTTTTTTTCATTTTCGGATGGATCGGATTTTTGAAGGACTGAAGGTTCTTTCTGCGTGCGACATCATTAAAATATTTTCTTTCGCCGCTGATATGCCACAATCGTCAGTGTCTTACGTATTTGTCTTTACTTCTCTTTGGTTCAATCACGTTTACCTCGACTTTTGGTCAAGATAGTTCACTAGCCACTCGTCTATCGTATCGGAATTCTGCTTCACCCAGTAGATATTGAACTTGATCGTTTCCAGACTTTGATCCAACATCCGTTGTCCGCTACCGACATCTATTTCTTTGAAGTATTCTTTCACCTAAAAAACATACGTTTATTTTAAATACTTCGCGAGTTCTCCACATTCAAAACTTTTTGAGACTCACCTCGTGATAATCATACTCAGTGAAGAAATCCGAGGTGACGACGTTAATAAGCGAACCAATCGTCAACGATCCATTACCAAACAAACCCTGGATATGCGACCAATGTGCCTTAAGATGCCTCCATGCCAACAATTTACCTTCTGGATTCTTGGCAACCGAAGCTATAACCGATTCGACATCCTGTGGCCTTATCAGATTTCTATCCAACGTTTGAGTCAGATAACGTTGCAGTAACCATGGGTCCGTCGATGCGCCCAATGCTCGTAACATCACTAGTTTCTCGCTTGGGAAAAGTGTCTTACGATACGTTTCCCAGCAGTGATTCCATTCCTCTTGGCTACCGAATTTCACACCAGCGGCGTATACTACGTCGCGAATGTTTGGTGCGATTTTTTTGTCGCGTAACATCCAGTCGTCGAATAAATCTTTTGCTGGTTTTACCACGTCCTCTAGTTGTAAGTTCACTGCTGATTGTAATACTAAGATACGGAGTAACCTGCGAGTAACAGCTTATTAGTTGTCCACTTTCATAAAAACAGCAAGAAATTTCACGGAAAGTATTTGTCTAACAACATAATTATCAAATACTTTACGACTCAATAATCCTACAGTATACCAACTTTTTCAAATGCGAGCCCTCGTCACTCCAACCAACATATTTGGTAACCGGCGCGATGAGTTTCTTGAAAAACACAATGTATCTCTTGTAAGCGGCACTCTCACTTAACTTCTCTTTCCATGAGTGAAGATAATTCAAAGCCGTTGCCCATGGTACATAATCCCTCTCATTCAGTAAATATAACGACAATTCTAGTGGTACCGAAGCATTCAATTCACCAGCTTTGCATAGAGTGAAAGCATCGTCTATAAGATTTGCACGATCAGCAGGACTGAATCTCGTGTGATCTTTCAATAAAGTTTGAATTATGGCTTGCCACATGTCGTCGGGATAGGATACTCTGTAGAAACCAGTTTGATTAACGTTACACTTGATGTAGTCCGTGTCGTTGGGGACTTCGAACATCACTAAAAAAACATATATATGAAAGATTATCGATTTTCACGTAGATATAGGGTAGAAAATGGCAATTACCATCGGTCATGTTCATCCACACGTTCTGAACGTCTCTGGAGTCCTTGCTGGTGTAATAGCTCAGCGGCACGTACCATTTGTAATTGAACGGCGATTTGGGAGCTGCCAGTGTCGTGTCGTTCACATACGGCGAGACGAGGAATCGCTTTTGAGAGGCTGTGATTGTGTTGCCTTCGCGCGCGATTGTTATTAGAGGGAAGCCAGTTTGTTGCGTCCACGTGTCCATTATTGCCTACCGCAAAGAGCTTGATTAAGTATCACGTTCGAAGTTTCAAGATTTTATGTGTACCGTACCTTGACATCGAATGTTTTGTTGACGTGTTTGGTGAATACAGCCCAAAGATCATTGGTATCAGCATTCCCATAAGCATGACTGCCCAGATAATCATTCAATCCTACCTTCAGTATATCTTCGGTTAAGAAACCTTCTAACATGTACAGTATCGAAGCTCCCTTATTGTAGCTTATAGTGTCGAATATGGATTCAATCTCCGATGGATCTTTCACTTGTACACTTATCGGATGACTACTTGCCAACGCATCGAGATCCAGTGCCGGCTGAATTTTGTCAAGGATGAATTGATCCATCATACTCCACTCTGGTGAGATGAAACTGACACCCTTGTACTCGAAGAAACTCGCGGCACCTTCATTCAACCAAAGATCGTTCCACCATTTCATCGTTACTAAATTGCCAAACCATTGGTGAGCTAACTCGTGTGCTATTACTACGGCTACCCATTCGTGCGCGGCTGTTGATGTCTCAGCTGGGTCGTATAAGATTGACGTCTCGCGGTAGGTTATCAATCCCCAATTTTCCATTGCGCCTGCACCGAAGTCTGGGATGGCTATCAGATCTGCGCAAAATAGAGGATGTTAACCGAGGTTCGATGGTTAGTTCGCGTGGTTTCGCACCTAGTTTCGGTAGTGGATACTGGGCACCGAAGAACGACTCGAAGAAGTCCATTGTTCTCGAGGCTGTTTTCACGGCGAAAGTCGCTTGCGGCAGCATTGTCTCAGCGGCGTAGACCGACACGCTAACGTTACGCTTTGTCATTTGTGAAACTCGCTTGAAATCACAGACCACGAAGGCGACCAGATACGTCGACATCGCCACGGACTCTTGAAAGTCGTCGCGTAGCTGCGAAACATTCGTCGACTAACGTGAGCGATAGCGGCTACGGGATCGCGTACCAGCAATTCTTTGCCGGATATGACGAATGCCATCGTAGGAAAATGAAGCGACGCGAAATAGGCAGATGCACGTGAAAGAAAAAATTGGAGTGGTTTAGTGAAAACTCACGAGTCCGGTGCCCATGTAGAATCCAGCATCTTCAGTGTTGGCAATAGGCGTGTTGCAGAGGGCAATATGAAAGCGATCCCGGAATATGGACACCTTGAATTTGGCCTTGAATTGCGGCTCGTCGAAGCATGGAAATGCCGAGCGAGCGTACGTCGGCTCGAAATGGGTTGTTGCCAGATACCTATGGCCGTCGAAAAAGCTTTTACACACGATTAATATTCAAATGCTTTTCTTTGTTTCGTTCTTAATTGTACTTTTTTCACAATATACGAACACAACAATATAGAGATCCTAATATCAACAAGATACGCAAATAAAAACGAACAAAGAACCAAGGGATCCAAGATATAGTATTTATGAGAGTTTGCTGTGAGTGATGACGGTGATTATAGTGAAATATAGTTTTTTTTCGGTGCCGAGTGAAAAAAAGTGCGAAAAAACATTATGCGAATTTTCAACGTGAGGTAGTTGTATCCGTAACTACATTTGCCGTATAAAGCCATTTGCTACAATTTCGAATTTAAGCAAGTTTCTACCGCGCCGCGCTGAGGCAATTACACAGATAGTACTAATTCATGAAAGAATTAATTGTTAGAACTACTTTGAATTGCCTTGTAAAAAATCTATATCGACATTTTCTTAGTTGAATATTTCTTGCGAGTTATTTAATTTGTCTTGTTATTTAATTTGTCAGATGAAAACAAAAAGACCTTCTTAGTATATAAACAGACAAAATATCCTTTCTTTATAGTAAAACCATGATTAGTACGTTATCGTTTCAATTTTTCATAAATACGATGAAAAATTATAAATTTTGTGATTAGAAAAGCTTTTACCCAAGAACATTCTATTTTACTCAGAGCTACGAAGCTACAAAAGTGAAACCATTAACTTATTTTTAGATTAAATACTGTATGCTTTCATAAGTGCCTTAGGATATTAAAACTTTACTTGAAGCGTAGGACATAATTTTGAGCTTTAAAAATATTCTTTCGCGAAAAGTTAATACTAACTTTTGCACACCAAATATCAAAGAGTTATGGTTATCTGTTTTCAGGATGACGACGCCAGATACAGCAACCTTACTTGATTTTGTAAAACTATCGGAAACACCGAGATAAAAGAAGAAAAAATCAAATTTTGAAGGAATCATTTTCTTTTACTTAAAAAAGTGAGCGTGACATATCTCATTCAAAGTGCTGCGACCAACAATACAAAGAGAGAGCGAATCGATAGATTGATCCAAGAGCGAGTGAAGTGAGTAGAGCATGCATAGAAATGAAAATGAAGTAGTAGCTGTATATAAAGTAGAAGGGGGATGCATATTGAGAAAAAGAGTCACGTAATGGTTTTAGATACCTTTTCTCTCCGTGGGCGTTGACGTAACTGCTGAGATAGAAGCCCTCGAGCTCGTTCTTCAGCTTCGAGACGAACCTCAAGTGGACCGAGTAGTTCCCCTTTTTACGAAACTTGCTCTCCTCGAGCTCGAGATAGAGCTGCTGATGCCGAGGATATTCCAGCATCCTCGAGATCTTTAATCTGCGTCCCTTGTGATCTTGCACCATCTAACGTGTGCCCAGTTGTTGGCATCCAGAACACATAGTTTTCCGATTTTAGATTACGTCGACGCGAAAATGAAATCCGTTATCGTTCTCAATTTTACTTCTATTTCTATCGAGTCTTTAAGCTCTGGCAACAATTTTTTCGTTTGTTTCATCTTTTTTTTTTTTTTTTGAAATTTAATTTTACATAAACTGGCAATACTCGACATTACGTTTACGTATAGCGCGTTACATCAAATAATATTCCACGTTAATCCAGCTAACTTGTGTAAATAGGAAAAGGATAAGCGTACTAATGAAAATTACCTTTTCGGTTATTGTCAAGTTTTTGCTATGGAAGACGATAAAATTGGTCTCTCGGTCGACATGAAATTCGATCGTGACTTGTCCTGCAAAAGAGAATACAGCACAAATCAATCAGTCAATTTACGCGTTTAATCAACCATCGACTAATTAATTACCTTTCACTTCTAATGTCGTGAGATTGGGATGGATCGTGATGTTGTATCGCGTTGGATGGGCAAAACTCGGCAACCTGACATTATCCCAGGGAAAGATCTGAAGGAAAATTACATTGAAGAGCGAGCTCGACCTGAGCGACGATCCGCGCGAAAGCGCCGGTCGATTGATTGCCTGGCACGCCGGGACAGAGAAACGTATCAGGCGCGCGAGCGACGCTTGCGACGCGCGCGCTCGATTGCCCAGCGAAGCCCCGCGCGTACACGCGACGATTTGCTGGCCTGCGCCGAGTCTGCTCGCGCGGAAACGTCCGTTCGCGCGGCAAACGAGCCTCCCGATTGAGAGACGCGGTCGATCGAGACGAAACGCCTCTCCCCGGCGCAAGAGATTAGACGCAGGCCGTGGCCGCGGCGCGCGATCCGAGTTTTAATCGCGAGAAACGGCACGCTCGAGGGAATTGAGGTTATACGCGAGCTTGCAGCAGACCGCAGCTGCTTGCAGGCTGCAGCGACGCGCGCCGCGGGTAAAAGCGGGTTAGGTGGGCAGCCAAGATATTTTTCAATTGGACTAACGACGTGGTTAATCTTCGCTCGTGCGAACGCATCATCGGCACCGCGCGCGAACCAACTTTACGACGCGAGAGGCGTGCGGGAACGATCGATTTCGCATATACCAACGTCCGGGCGCTTTCGCGCATACTCCCAGAACTATAAAAAAAGAGAAAAGAAAAAAGGAAGAAGACAAATAAGTAGAATGCAAAGATGTGAACGTACGTCGCCGTTGGTAGCAATGGGTTCGCCGGTCTCCTCGTCGATGTCGGTGACCAGGTTCGTTGGCTTCTCTCCAGCGCAAGGGCAGTCTAGTTGTAGCGAGGAAGGAAGGAAGGCGTCAATTAATTACCTCCTCGACTGCTACGCGCCGATTACGAATTCAACAATTAATTATGCCATTATTTCGCGTGCCACGGGCAATTAGCCTCCCCCCCCCTCCCCCTCCCTTTCACTCTTACCCTCTCGAGGATCTCTCGCGAGAAGTTTCAAAAATGCATGGCGGTTTCTTTTTCATTCTGCGCCCCCGCACAATGGCAATGTCTTAATTGTTGATTACCCTTTCGGCACTTTCTCCGCGGGCCGGAGCTTGCCGCGCAAAAAGAAGACTGCGCGAGCAGTTTCTTCCGTCCAATTATCGCGGAACAACTCGAAGAGCGGCTACTTCTTTCCTCGTTGAAATTAAAAATGAAGGAACGATGAAAACACAGCGGAGTGCTTTAAAATTCGCATTTGCCGCGAAGATAAGAGCGATGAGTGGCTCGCGGCGCTCAGCGCTGTTTTCGCGCGACTCACCGTTTTGTGGTCCCGCGAAGGCGATGATGAGCGATATGGCGAACAGCGTGGCGAACACGACGGTGGCGATGCACAGCGCGCGCTTCTGCGAGCACACCGCCCCACCGTTCTGCTCGTAGATGTTGCGCTTGTGCAGCGCTGGATTTGTCTCCCCTGCAATGCAAAAGAAGCGAACGAGGCGCGGGATTAGACGGAGCTTACGGGCAGCGGCGATGCGCCACACGCGATACACATTGTAATTGACCCAGAACATGTAACCTGCGATTCCTTTCGCTCGGCTGGGGTAAATCGATGATGTGCTTGCGCGCCGCCGAATAATTGGAGCGCGGTAAGAAAGAGTCGCGGTGCGACGTACCGCGGCCGAACGAATCATTGCCGGCGGACGTTTCCTCATTATTTATCGTTTGATGTTTTCTTTTTCTTTTATCTCCTCGTTCGCTAGTGGGCACGCTATTCAGGCCGGCGCGGGTGCTGGAATACTTCACGACGGTTCCATCTCCGCGAAACTTTCGCTGCGCGTTTATGAGCTTACACTGACGTAAACTGCACTGCGCTCTCTGAACAAAAAAATTGAATAAAAGAGCACGTGAGCCTGAAAATTCGTGCGCGTTCGCCTTCATGTGCGTGTGCGTGTGTTTGTGTGTGTGTGTCTGTGTGTGTGTGTGTGTGTGTGCAGTTTAAAAGCTTGTGGGGGCTCATGAAAAATTTCGCGTCGCCCGGCTTGCTGCCGCTGCCGCCGCTGCCGCCGCTGCTGCTGCTGCGCACTCGACCTCGATTCTCATTGGGAACTCTTGCCTTTTTTTTTTTTCTCCTGCCTCGCTTACGCTCGCTTGCTCGCGCGCGCGCACTCGTACGGCGATGTGCCGCGCGCGCTTTGTTTATGCACGAGTGAGAGAAAGTCGTCGGGATGTAGGTGAAGAGGTTCTCGGCATTAATTAGATTTTGCATTCGTTAAGAGAGGAAAAATCACGCACGAACAAGCGCGCGAATCCGCGAGCATCGATCTGTCCCGCGTGAGATGGAGGCCGAACAAACCGCGTGGGACGACGGCGAATAAAATATGCAAAGCGTGGATAATATCGATCGACCGGCATAACACGTGGCTGGGCTCAGAGGAGAAAAAGATACGCCATAAGTGGGTCGACGACGTTGCATATACCATGCACACACACACACACACACACACACACACACACACACATGTATGCGCGCGGAAGGAAGACACCAAGCGCGATGTGCAGTCGACTTTGTTTAAGTTGCTATCGATTTATATGCGTGCCCCGTCGATGTCGCCTATAACTTTCGCTTCGCCGCGACGCAAATGCGATCGTCGATCGTCGCAGCCGCGAAAAATGCACGCTGGCTCGTGCGCGACGATACGATCGAGCACGTACGTCGGAGGAAGTATCGAGCTCCAATTAGATTATCCTTTACACGTTGCGCGAGGAAATTTCTCGGGAGAGAAAGAGAGAGAGAGAGAGGAGAATCGTAGCAGCGCGTTAACGCTCTTTCATGCAGGTACTTCACGCGGAAAGTATTCCGCGTTATTCCAACGAGAGGAGGTAAATTCTAACGTGAATCGCGACACCGCCGGGGGAAAAGAAGGGAATTCCCGCGCGTAACAAAAGTGCAGCAGCCGCACGTAGCGAGCGAAAAAATGCCGTCAAACGCATAGCTCAGCGAAGCGTATAACAAAGCTTCGCCCTGCATAAACGCGGAAAAGGGCGGTGGGTCGTTGCCTCTCACTCACTCTCTCTTTCTTTCTCTCTCTCTTTTTGGGACAAATTAAATTGCACGTAGAGGGAGAGAGAGAGAGAGAGAGAGTACCTACCGCGTGTCGTTGTTGATGTTCGACAACCTCGTTTTTTCACCGAAAATCCCGCGCCTGATTTAAGCTACGCTTCTACTACTGAAATACGTATAACTGAGATTTTCGGAAATGAAATTTTTGAGGATGAGACGACGATGACGGCGCGCGCGAGACGCGCTGATGTATGCGAAAAGTAGATTCTCTTTTTGGAATCGAATGTGAAATGCGAGCAGATTTGTTCTCGAGCCAATGCGAAGAGAGAGACCGTCGAAAATATATGTATCGTACGCGTCGTATGATCTCTTCGTCTCTTTCCCGGCGAAGATATCGTCACGCGGTAGGTGTAAATCGTATGATATACGTCTCGTATCGTCGATTTTCATTCCCAACTGTCGAAGATCGATTTGGCAGCAAGCGAAAAAAAAAAACAAATTATTTCACGTTTCTGTGTCCGCAGACAAACATTTTTCAATGGCTACGATGGGAAACGAAAGGCAAAGTCGACGAAACGAAAAATTATTTCGGCAAACGGCTAATTACTTTTCTCTTTTATCCCCAGTCGTATTTTTAATTAGGTTTCCTTTTACGATTCGTGTTTTTTATTCTCTCTCTCTTTCTCTCGTGACTTTTCAAACATCAGTGACCGCTACTCTTTTGCGTACGCGTATATCCAAGCTACGCGATACAGTTGTTTCCCAGTGAAATGACAAAGTTTCCCGCGCGTAAATCTAATTCTATATTTTTTTGAAGTAACACGCGAGCGAGACATTTGCGAATGGCAAGTTATTGCGGGTGCCATTTCAATATATTCCCTTAACAATACAACGAAACTGCCGTCGCAAATGAACTTCAAAATTCCGCGCGGACGACCGCTCGCCGAAATTTCCATATCAAAATCCACGCGCAATTCAAATGCCTATCTCGAAAATTTACATTACAATAGAAATCCTCCCGAATTAAAAAAGGAAAGGAAAAATAAATAAAAAGAGCGAAGAAAAGTAAATCGATAGAACGTGTCGCGTGAGGCAATTGTTGCATCCTTTTGCTGCATTTATGTAGATCTAGAAAACACGTGGGCTTCATTAGATCGCGAGGCTCTATAATTGGCAAACGTATCGCGCGTCCGCTCGCGTACATACGCAGACGTTTTCATCGCCGGAAACATCGTGGAAGATGGATGGCTCTCATAAACAAGACTTAACAATGCCTCTCTCTCGTTCTCGCGCTCACATGCTCTTCGGGGATAAGTTTAGCACGCGCGCGGTCTCGGAATCGCAGAGGCGAGCGTGCGTCGCTTTCTGCCCAATATGCGATTGGAATGCGATTTAGCGACGAATCCGATCGTCGCGCTCGTGGATGAAAAATGCGTAGGCGTATGAAAATAACACACAGAGACAATGATATTAAGAGAGAGACGTGTTATCACACCGACCTGTGAGAAAGGCGACATCGTCGACATCCTGCTCGTTCATGACAAAGCGATTGGGCGGCGGGTTGCGACGGTAGACAAATCCCTTGACCTCGCCGTCGCTCGAGGCATACGAGACCTTGATTAAAGGTTCCTTCTGTTCTGCCAGTTTAACAACTGCACGATTATCTTGGGCTTTTTTTATTTCTTTTTCAATGGACTTTTTCGATTATGGACGGAGGCATTGTGCGGTCGTGTGTGTTTGATTTGCCGTTGTGCTCTCTCTCTCTCTCTCTCTCCCTCTCTCTCTTTCAACTGTGTATTATCTCGCGACGATAAGGAAAAAGGAGAGAGAGAAGAAGAAAATCCTTCTCCCTCGTTATTTTTTTCGTGTATATGTCTGGCCGGTCGGCCCGCTATATAGCGACTGGCAATGGCCGAGCCTCCCCTGCGTCGTCGCGCGGAGGGCGCTTAACGCACAGAGCGACATCTCGTGGTTTACACGATCTACGAAGCGAACGAATGGGGGATGACTCTCCTGAGAGCGAGAGAGAAACCGACAGACAGAGAATGGTGGAGAGCTATGCGAACAGAGAGTGCGTTTCGAGGGTACTCCGCCGACGGCACAGGCGCACTCATTTTGGAGATGGCCGGTCTCTAATTGTCGCCGTACTTCCGAGCGAATTGCCAATTCCGACGTATCGATTGCCGGATTTTCCAGGGAAACTGGACGAGGCTCCCCGGAGGATTGGACGAAAATCTTTGAAAAAGCTTCGACGCACGAGCTAACGAGAAGCGTCAATACCGTACAGCCGGTCGGCCGCCGCGCTTGCAAGCTACCCCTCGCGCGCTTTTCTCTCTCTCTCTCTCTCTCCCTCCCTCTCTACCTTGTTGGTTGGTCTAAGCACATCATCGCATTGGTGTGGTCCGAAGCTGGCTGCGCGAGCATCGACCGCTCGCTCGCCCGATAACGCCATGGAGAGGGGGAGGTGAAAGCGCCATGGGATTCGCACGGGGAATTGAAAAGTCGCAGGGGGAAACGAACGTTTGTAGATGTTTTTTTGCCCCGCGTGATTACTATTTTTTTATTTTAATGTAAGACTAGGCATATTTGTCAGCTGCTGTTGCCCATTTCAATGATCGGCGGTTGGTACGAGAGAGTTAGCTTTTTTCGACAGAAGGAGTTTTGAAGGATCACGACAGACAAACGTTGAAAGATGCATTGTTTAATCGAAGAAACAAGCTTGGAAAGTTTTATAAAATTTTAAGCTTTTCTAAAAACTTCTGAAAATGATTTTTTTTAACTATGATTATTGAAAAGATCCAGTAAATACATTTATTTAGAAAATTATTGCTCAGGGCGAAACTATGCACGCAACGTTTATTTATAATTAAAAAAAAAACACGAAATCTGAGTCTTATTAAGATACGTACCTAGTTACGCGAAAAGTAAGACGAAAAAAAGTACAATAACAAGTTATTAATCTTCTCGCGGCTCATCTGTATGAGCATCGCGTCACGAAAAAGCTGGTAATTGCAATTCCAAAGAGTAAAAAAAAGGAAGAAGGAAGAAAAGAATCATATCCCGATGTAAGCTCTCCGTTATAACAGTGTCTGGCAACGCCACCACGCGGGGCAAGAAGGCATCGCACAGCCAATTTGCATAATCGGACGATAAGACCGGCGTGTATGTGTGTACGTGCGCGATCGATTTCTACTTGTGAAAAAAAAAAGATTATTTTTCTCCCTTCGTGCGTAAACGAGAAAGTTGAGATAATAAAGTTTTCCTGCGTTAATTTTCGGCTGCTCACTCTTTCTCTTCTGGCAAATGATTGTCAGCATAGCCGAGGGATGCTGCGTACGAATCGATCGGCGCCCCCCCCCCCCCCCCTTAACTTCTGGTCGACGCCGGCGCGCGCTTTTTTTCTTCTCTAGTGCACTTCTTCGGCCTTATCTCTTTTGTCGCTCGCGTTTAACGCATTACGCAACCCTCAGTCTCTCTCACTCTCAAGGGGATGTGAGTTCCTTTTTTCATTCTCTACCGCTGATGATCGGGTTAGCGGCAATTTTTGCAGCCAACCTCCTTTTGTTTTATTTTTAATTGGCGGCGAGCACCTCTTTAAAAACTCGCTCGATTCAAAGGTACGATTACTAGCTCGAATGAGCTCGAAGTAAATTGAGTGCCTGACGGTGGAAACAAAAACGAGTGTTTCGCTTTTTTCCGCTCGCGATTTTATTATTCGATTGTCGTGCTAATTGTTTGTCTTATTTGTTCCGTTCGAGGAGGCACTTGCGTAAGAATGCTCAAAGAACGTTAATAAGCTATGACGGAACCCGAGAGTTTCTATTTGAATAATTAATGGCACATCTCCTCAAAAGCGTAAGACAGTATCTCACGATAGTAGATAAAATGAAGTTTTGCGAGCTAAACCCAAAATTTTCGAAAACTTCAATCCTCTTCACTCCTGATAAAAATCGAAACCGTCGTTTAAGCAAAACATTTCATAACTCTCCGCTATAAGGTACACAGAAAAGTTTTCAGAGAGAGATTTGAGAACCCAAGCAAAGAACCCGTCGAAAAAGGAAACTTAATTCCGCCTCAAGCTTAGAGGGTATATATACGAGTTAGAGGACTGGGACTTTTTACGTCGGCTAATTTACTCTCTTGTGCGCGCCAGATTTACACGTCCGCAGGTACGCAGCAGCTTTTTATCGGCGTTCCTCCATTTTGAAACGCCATACGAGATTGATCAGAGAAAAAATCTTAGCCGAGCTTAATTGAAAATCTCGAGATAATTATCGTTGTACAGCCTCCCGCGACGACGACGAGCAGAGCAACAAGTGCAACGTAAATTGCCTGTCACTCGACGAACGACACTTGAGAAAATTACTTCATGAAGTTAACCGAACAGAAAGAAAAAAAAAAGAAAAGAAAACTATACTCACCGCCTGTAGCCGAAGCTGTACCATTCTGTCCAGGTGTGCGTCCACTCGATGTCCGAACGATTGGTTCCATACGAATGGCTTCGCTGCTCGTGCGTCCCGATGACGCTGTTTGTGGTCCTGGCATCTTATTCTTCGATGATTGTACAAGTGTTTCGATTTTTCTTTCTAATAATAATTATCTAAGGCGATTACTTTCTTTTCTTTGTTATCAAAATTTCCTAAATGAAATCTAGGCACGCACCTAGGCTCGTTAGCGTAATAGTGTAAAGCACATCGACAATTTGGACGTAGCAAAGTGAATTTGCAAATCGCGAAGCAACATCAAGGTACATTATATATGATATATTTAGGTACAGAAATCACAATTCCTCGATCAATAATAATTCTTTTTCTCCAAGCAAAAGCTTTGTTGTGTACATACATACATATTTTTTACACAAAACGCGCGCGTGTATATATATATATTATTTATTTACGACGAGAAAAATAAAACGAAGCTAAAGTGTGAAAGACGTGCGTTGTTCCCCCGAAAAAAGCGCGCTGCGTGTATAATGTATAAGGTATGTCTTAGAAATACGTTTTGATAATAGTCTCCCTTCGAAAGCTTTGGCACACGCATCAATCAATGATTTCCTTCTAGTACGCAGAATCACATTATCTAGGACGTGCTTCCAAGGGAGTGATCGCCGTTCCCCTCCACGCACACACATACACACTTGTCAATTAAGGCACGCACCCTCTGCTACTCCCTTCTTTGACGGCATCGAGGGTGCGATTATTACTGCTCTTCTTCTCCTCCTGTAAAAATATAAGGGATGAAGCGAAGAAGAATGTGGCAAGATGCAGCAGTTAAATTTTGCGGAAAAAGGGGAATGCCAGTTTTATCTCCTTTCTCTCTGTTTGCGATCTAATACACTTGTTTTGACAGTGTATCCGTGTATCGGATTATTTGCCGATCAGTAGAAAATGGATAGGATAAGCAAATAGAGTTAGAGAGAAGATGAAATTTTCGGATCTGAAGTCTAAGCAAAATCATATATCTCTCCCAATGAAGGAATGATGCACTTATAAGAACTACCGTATTAAGGATACATTCATGGTTGATTTGCTCTCTCTCTCTCTCTTTCTATTTCCTCATAGTTAAAAAAAACATGTCATAAGTTTGATCTGTTTTTCAATATGGTATTTTTTAATAAAGAACAAAAAATTCTCAATTTAAAGTATTTTTAGTAAAAAAATGTAACAAATGAAAAAATTTATTTTATTCGTGTAATTTCATTAGATATATTTATAATGTATATATTTGGAAAATTTATTATTTTAATCTCTTTTTAATTATTCATATTATAAGCGATGTTTTTCCTTCAAAAAAAGATTCTTTTCGCATGGTTTTATTATAAAAATAAAAGCTCGATGAATAATTAATACTGAAGCCTCTTATCATTACTTGCTAATAACGATTAGTGTTCAATTTGCTATCTAAATTGCTGGTAGCACGAGAAGACGTTAGCCGGCCGGCGACGCTAGTTCAATCTATATATTTTTAAAGGCGAAGAGCTGGCCGAGTTGCCAGATTTGATTAGAGTACGTCGGTCTTGAACTGAACAGGTGGTTTATCAGATTTGTTGCACTTTAAATATATGATAAATGTTATTTTCATAATTTTGTCCGCGACTCATCAAATTGTTTTGTTTCGAGGAATCGAGGAGTTCTTAAATAGATTCTTAATATAATAATAGTATTGGTTAATATCATCTAATTACGTCAATTTTTTAAAAATATTAAAGATTGAGGAATGCTACATCAAGAAAGCATTCTTTGAAATATTTTCGAACGCAAAGATAAATCACTAAAATAAAATTTCTATAAAAAAAGCGTATCAGAGAAAATCATGCGGCTATTATTTAGACGAATTCAAATTAAACGCTTTATATACGAAAGGTATCTCGTTTACACGGACAACAAATGGCATGAAATTAAGTGGGCCATTTTTCAGCGTGCGCCATATAGACGATAAATATAATCAACCCTATCTGGCACGCGACTACGGCCAACGTTGCGTCTTTTGGCTCCTCTTGGCTTCTTTGTCCGACTATGTTCCGCACTGTCTCGAGCTATATTTATTTGATTCGGAACGCTTCTCATCGACCCACGTGTGTTCGTGTGATTGAAGCCCCGATAATTCATCCTACGAAAATAGACAGAGGCTTTTATATTTTCATCGTAAATTAGAATTAAACAATTTCTTTTGCATAACACCATTTTGTTTAATTACTTAATTTGGCATTATGGTAAATAATAACAAATATCTCTTTACAGATCATAGAATATAACATCAATTATTATCTTCTCTTTGGTAGTTAGATTATAAAAAATATTAAGTAAAAATATTTCACTCAGTAACGTTATACTACGTGTCTACGACCGTAACAATGTACGTCTGAGTCGCAGATTGTAAAATAATTTCTGATTAAGTTAACGAATAGTAGATATATACTTCCAAAATTATCTCGCGCACGGAAGACAAATACAAAGATATTTTTTTTTAAATGGGCACGTAGTTTTCACGCGGAATGGCCAGTCCAAATAAAAACGCTATTCATTGGTAAAAATTATGTCCGACCTCGGCCAAACGGCCTTCTCGAAGTTCAGTTTAGCGACTCCCTGTCTATCTCTGTCATTGTAAGCTACCCATTAAATCCTTAAACACTCGTGGAACGATCGATCGTGTTACCGCCTCTTTTCTCCAAACTTGTGTGAAAGTTGATGCTAATGCGACTTCTTAATTTACTAGCTGAGGTGATGCGTATGGCGCTTTAATTGACTATTTTTAACGATTTACTTTTTTATGATTTAGGACTTTGATGACTTTGATTTGAGTTTACCGTGGTTTATTCCGTTAAAGCGACTTTTTAGATTTTTAAATCGATGATATGCTGATACTCTTGTGTTTTGCTTTTAATATTTTGAGATTATTAATGGTACGAAAATGAATTTGAAAGATTTGTTAAAGCTTGTGAGAAGTTTACGTACATGAATGCCATAGATAATTGTATAACAGCCTTGCTGCAGTTTTACAAACTCAAATTAGCGCAAAATACGTGACGGACGTAACATAGTTCCGGATATTTCATTAACTGACAGATGTTTACTTTGCCATCTAGGCTTTGCGGGAAATAGCTGCACTCATGAAAAATATTAAATTATAATTATTTGCTAATTTTTTCAAATGCATGAAATTATACACAATGCATAAATTGACTAACTGATATATATATTTTTTATAATTTAGATATTTTCACATGAATGAATATGTCGAAGTTCTTTATATTTTAATTTAATTAACTTTTAATTAAAGTATTCTGCACGCAATTGAAATAAGCCATGTAATTTGAAGGCTTTTATAAAAATAATACTTAATTTCTTTAATGAATTCGAGCATATATACTTCAACTGGAAAATGATATTCAGCAAACTATTGACAAATAAATATAATAGAACACAAAGATTCTCATTCAGTCACATCCTTTCAAATGTACATATAGATATTTTACTAAAACCTACATTTTCTAATAAAAAGAAAAGAAAATTACATCACTGAGGCGTAAGTAGTACTTACACGCGAACACGTGCAGATCTGTTTTGCCTTTGCATCTCTTTTCTCAGTTCAAATTACACGTGCAAGCTCGCTGCCCAGAAAATGAAAATGCACAGGTCTCGTGCTTGAAGTATACACGTAACGACCAGAGTAAATTTTTTTTCGCACCAACTTGTATGCATATGTCGAAAATTGGCATCGAGCGAAACGCCTTTTGGAACGCGTTTATGTTTTCGAGCTATTGGGATTACGCTGACACAGAAAATAAAAACGCGTAATCTCTTTTCTCTTGAATGATTTGGAAAATGTCAAATTTTGATTAAATCTGTGAAAACTTGTTTGGAAGTCTTTGTGAAAAAGTTTTCCTTTTTGTTAGATCCTTTAACATTTTTGAGAGCAAGTTTACTTCTCGAACTGTGATTCATAATTCCGCTGTAATTAACAATAGCACATTGATCGATCAATGTCCAGCTTCCTAAACCATAATCAGTATTGAACAATGATTCAAGCGTTACACGTACGCCAAGTATTCCAAATGATTGTAGAACCATGAAAATAACGATTTATAGTTCCGGCGCGCATCGAAAATGGCTATGCACACCGAGACAGAGAGAGAGAGAGAGAGAGAGAGGAATTACCAAGCGCACGGCTCGTTACATATATATGCTCGTACGCACAATAACTCTCTTTGAGCGCTTGCCGCTGCACCGTTGATAATTGAGCTCTCGGGAACGCTTGTTATTTTGTCGAATTTTATGCGGAGGACGACTTTAATATGACAATATTGACGAGGATACGTTCATTGTTAATTTAATTTTATAATAATAGCCAATGCTATTTAAACGAAATTGAAAATGTATATTTAGAATCTCTTCCTTGATATTCACAAACAAAAATTACTTATCTGTTGACCAGAAATTGAATAATATTCTCGCTTGGATCCCACTTTTATAATATCAGTTGGGATTGAAAGATAATGAAAAAAGTTCACCGTCCAAATAGAAGGAAAACGTTTAAAATACCTGCGATTCAGCAAAGCATCCCACGGCACGTGGCTTTGAAGCGATGCCACTTAAAAAAAGGGATATTTTTAATTTATTCTTCTTTTTTTCTTTTATAACGATACACTTAAGAAAAGGATTTATCCGTTGGCGCGAAGAATCAATACTTTGTGTATGGTTACAACGTTGTACGTGCATCGCGATTGCTGTCTATTCCAAGCTTTTGGCTTGTTGTATTATTATTATTATTAGTTTAACTCGCAGGTAGACCACTTTCTTTGATGTCATAATCAGCTTGGTTATTTCGGCTTATATAAAGTATCAATTAAAATTTTAATTTAAAATTCATTATTCCTATGGTGCGTCGACGATAAAGCTCACCTCTTCCTTTGTCAAATATAAATATACCATCAACTACCCCAATTAGAAATCACGGAAAGAGAAACTGGCAATGCTCGCATACGCACACACACACACACATATACACAACACACCCAAAAGTGAACAAAAACAGTAATAATTGCATCACACCTTTGCGTCGTGTCTACTCCTATACTAAAAACCGGCACGCTGGTTATACACACTCTGCCTAGCTACTCTGTCGGCGGACGACTACTACTGTGCTGTGCTCTGCTCTGCTCTGCTCTGCCTGCAAGAGCGAGCGAGAGAAGAACGTGCGCCCGGCATCGAAGCGACATAGAGAGAGAGAGAGAGAGAGAGAGAGAGAGAGAGTGAACGAGAGGGGGGAGGCGAGACAGAGAGAAAGGGATGCGTGCGCGCCGGGGTTGCTACTCCAAGTCTATGTGTGTGCGTGTGTGTCTCGATGATGCTGGTTTTTCTCGTTCGTTCGTGCAGATTTAATGTTCTGTGCAATATTTACCTGCCGCGGCGTTGATGATGAAAACGTTGAACGATATATATTACCCGAAGGGTTGTTCGCTGGAGGAGAATTTTTTCACTGTCGAGAATGTTAAACGAAGTCGAAGATTTCTTCTCCTTTGAGTGTTTGTTTTGAATGAATTCACCATGAATATGAGATTCTTAATCTATAATTCTCAGAAGAAACGAGTCCCCTTTTCATTATACAATTTAGTCGATGTCCACATTGGGAAAAGCCGTCGTTCGATTTAATTTTGTTGAACGGCCAATGTAATTAATAAGTAATTTCACGCGCCTTGCAATTTTTCAACAATATAAAAATAGCAGGAAGCAAATCATGCAATTTCAACGTTGAATCAGAGTGTATGTAACACCGAGGTCGCGCGCGCGATAAAATGAAAATTCATAGAGGCACAAAAGTATCGTTGGCATAACAGTAGCATGCATGCACATTTACTTTCGGCCCAGGGATGATATAATCAGTATTAAAGTACAAAGCACACGATCGATGCAACAATAACCCAGTTTTAAGTTACTCGAGTTAAAAAAAAATCAAAGAAATATTTTTTTCGAGCGATGAAATTAATCGAGCAATTAAAACGCAGAGTAAATAAGACGCGTGAGGAATTTACATGCCAAAAATGATATTATGCTGTTCTCTTTTTAGCCAGGAAACTAATATCGATCCAAGGAACTCTGCCGCTACTTGGAGACATGCCTAGCTGCTACTGTGTCCGAGGGGCGGAAGGGACGGGTGTGTAACTTTTCTTGGTGGTGCAATTAAAAATTTTAGGATCAAGGTTGAGATGATATAATGACGTGTTTATATTTGGCGATCGATCGATGTTGCCGTTTTCGTTCGAAAGCATCCGTCCGTAAAAATTTGATCGCTTCTTAACGACGTACCCGCGAGTGGTTGCGTTGTCACGAGGATATCTGAAAACTCGAGCAAATGACGGACTTTATTTCGAGGCGTTTGGGACAATTTGCGACTATCGGATCAATTAGGCCTGTTCGGCATTGTCAAATTATACTTCAAAATACCTGAAACTCGTGAACTATTAAAAATCTCGCCTGTTATGCAATTATCTTGGAGCATGATGACGACGTATAGTAACATTCAAAATATCGATTCTTATCCGCAATTAAATAATACAATATGAACCACACTGCAATAGATAGAGAGGGGGAAAGTAAAGTTAGACTGAAAAAAATCGATAAATTTCATTTGTCTCTCTCTTTCTCTTCCTCTCATAGCAGAGATGAAAAGAAGAAAGGCACAGAGAGAAGACGTAAGCCACAGGTTGCGTGTCCCTTTGGCTACCACAGACGAAAATCCACCCTCGTGTGCACATACAACTGCCAACGGATCGAAGCTGGGTTATACCTTCTCCTCTCTCTCTCCTCTCCTCTTTCTCGCTCTATCTCTCTCTCTCTCTCTCTCTCTCTCTCTCTCTCTCTCTCGGCGAATGATCCACTACCCCTCTGCAAAAGGCGCCACGCCGGCTGCTACGGATTCTGCGCGATACTGAGGGACGCCGCCACCGTCGACGTCGCTTAGGGGTCGTTGATCTGCATTTTTTTTTATCGAAAAATGGAGGGGGAGCACTTCTTCTTTCTTTGTACACTGTTATTTGATTTGCCGATTTTTTTTTTATCACTCTCTTTCTCTCTATTTTTAATTGGCCTTTTCTCAAAGTTCTTGCAAATGGGGGGACGTTTGAGCTTTTTTTTAGCGTGCAATTATTCAAATGCTTCTTGTTCGAGACAGACGCTTCGTTCGTTAATGTTGCGTGGGAACTCGGGGCATTTGTTTTTCTTCGAGAGTATACATGCACTGTTGAGTGATTGTTTTTTTTTTCTTTTCTTTTTTTTTGTCAAGTGAAGTATGAAGCTATTTATACGATAGCAGAAAGCTTCTCATATTTCGAATTGAAGTTGGTCGAACGTCGATCTTATAACAAATGAAAAAATCAGACAGCGTGTGCTAAATTTAGAGGTCCATCACAATTTCGCGAGCTTTGGGTATGTCGATACGAATACGTATACTCGTATTATCTATAAGTGATGAACGTGCAAAAGCACTCTAATTTTGCAATATTGCTGTTCCCTCGTAGCAGAAGTTTGCGCAAACCAACGAACGAATTGGTTCAACGATAAAAATGAGTCTTGCTTAAAAATTTGATGGCAGAATGCAAAAATGTACTTGGAGACTATTGATATTCCGCATACAAAGAGATTTTTAGTCATGTTCATTGCAATTGACAGCACGAGACCATGGCAATTCCGTTCTTTTCACTTACCCATAGCTACGAATGACTTGTGGCTATATAGATTGTGATGGTTTTGGAATTCTTATTCCGATAAGAGATTTATACAATATGCTATTGTAAAAGTTTTTCATGCTATATACCTCTATAATTTTCGACAGAATTTCCGTTACTCCAAGAAAATTTATAGTTTTGCTATTTTCGCTGTATTTATAAAACAATGGGAGTATTGAGTTCTGAATAAACGTGTGCTGCGTAGCTAAGAAAACTCATCAAAGGAAAAATAATACTAACAGACCGCATAACAGAACACATAAAAGCAAAACTAAATTTGTTTCTTCTGATCCTTCAAGAAATATTTCGAACTCTTGTGCTTCGGAAACACTCGCGTAAAGTTAACCTCATCTGAGGTGTGCATAGATACATAGTTAAAGTCGCTGTAAAACCTACGGTCTATGTCATCTAATTATGATATTAAAGTGATTTTTTGGAATCGAATAAATTGGTTGACACGATGACGATACGATGACGAGCAGTCAGAAGAAAAAATATTTAAAAAATCTTTACGTAATATTTTAGCCTAATGAAGATCGCCAAATGCGCACGAGCACATCACTAACTTAAAAAAAAACATAAACGAAAATGCATCGATAGATGTTCATAATGGGTAAAGGTTAGTCGAATGCAATTCTTCCACATGTATATACTTTCGTGCAAATTTAATTAAAAAATAAAAATAAATAAAAAAGCCAACGTTTCGATAACATTTTGGAATTAACCATATCAAGGCTAGAAAAAACATACCAATTTGTACAATATTGGCAAGATTCTGAGATAAAATTACAACTCAGATATACAAGAAATCTACAAAAATTCGTAGACGAAGCATTCTTTCTTATCAATTTCGTGTATTTTAAGTACGACAGTTTTTATTATAAACAGATTTTGGGTGCAGGCACAGATGATTGTTGCTCGAGTCCGATTTTAGCGAGTTGATTCTTGAATGTTTAGGAAATATTGTTCCATATACTAAATAACAGTATTTTGTTGTAAGCGCGTTACATGAATGATTGTTAATGGTTGTTAACGGAAGTGAGGTGGATAAATATCTGCAAGTTTTTAATGATTGTGATAATAATCTTTAGTTTACGATGGAGACAGAAATTAATTCAACCATTAAGTACTTTGAAGTGATTATTTTAAGAGAGCGTACTTCAATAATAATTTTAATCGGTGTCAATAAAACACCTTAGGCGAATCTGTTCATTTGCTCTCATGTTATCCATTATCGCAAAATGTGCAATTGTTTATGGTCTGGTAGGCAGAGTTGTCAACTTATCACATGAAGGTTTCATTGAAAAAATTAAAATTCAGCGAGAGAACTAATAACGGCTATCCAAATAGATTCATAACAAGGATAGTAAATAACATAATAGATTATTTAATCAAAAATAAGAGAATAGATCAGAGTAACAATAGTACACATACACAAGGTAACAATAATGGAAAAAAACAAATAAGTGTTTAGCTTATATTAAAGACTTAAGTTTTATATTTAAATTGATTGTTGTTTTATATTGAAATAACTACAGAGTGATTGACAAACCTATCAATAAATTTATCGTATTACAACGGTAAGCAAGGACGCGTAGTAGTAAAAACGGGAAAAAGTGGTGTAGTTTATAATATTGACTGCGAAATGTCTGATATCGGTCACACAGGAGCACGAATAAACGAACATAAATGTAGTATTAAAAATAATGACGCTACGTTGGCTTTAACCGAATATGCAAATTTGAATAAACATAGTATTGATTTTCAACAAAGCCAGAATTATTGACACATAACAATACCAGTTTAAGAGACAATTTTACTAAAATTTCGCGTATATATATAGCACTGAAAATAATATGACCAGACAAACAATACTATTAAACTCGAGAACGATTATAAATTTTCGATTGACGTCATTTACAAAAAGAACAATTATAAGCCGATACGCAGCCATAAATTACGTTCATCTAGCAAGCAGAGATGTCGAGTTGATGTGCGAGCCATGGAGATGGCACGCACTGCGCGTATATTAATTGTATTTCGATATCGCTTCTCTTGCACGATCACGTTGACCCGGTTTGCCACTCGATTGGCGCTCCTGTTACTTTCTCAATTTTTTACTTATAATACCTCTCCCCCTCCCTCCTTTCATTACGTTTTTTTTCATACAAATGTCCTACCCCAGGCTTACTTTGTCAGTTCTCGACTAAGCGAGCAATAATAGTTATTAGTCCGATTGTATCGTTTGACTCGTTTGACATTGTAATTAAGCGCTTTCTGCTTGATATCTTTGGGACACCTGTAAATCTTTGGGACAAATGTACGAAAGAGCTATAAACAATCGATCAGTGTTATCGAAAAATTCCATCTGCCTGTCCCCTTTCGCGCACGTAAATACATCGCATTGCGATTAAAAAACCGCAAAAGCGCACCAACGCCACAGTCCACGCGAAGTTCACAGCTGTTCAATCGATCGCCAAGTGAGGAATTCATCTTGATAATGAGCGCTTATCTTGGAGATTATTGCTGCGCACGGCACCGCACTGCAGCAGCACTCTAGCTTGGCTGCAGTGCCGTGCGCAAAAGAACTCAACGCGCCGACGTCCGTGTGCAAACGTCCAGCTGAAAGGCGCGCCGAGCTTGAACGTCGCTAAAGTCGGCAGCGAAAAACACAACGGAAGAGATTGTGCCTCAATTCGGAAAACATGCATGGGGTGAGTTGATATTGCCTTTCGCGAATGAAATATTCGTAGGTTATGTTTCTGTTTTCAAATCGAAGAAAATTGAGTTGCAGTTTACATGTATACTTCCTGCTTTCATTTATGTTTTCAGTGTTCATTGTTGTGTTTGCGGTTAAATTTATTTCAACCTCGTTAGATAATTTCTCACGCCCAAACTTCGGACAAGTCCTTCAAATGTATTTTACGAATTCAACTTGCTACATAACCTTATGAATAATTTTAGTAAAATGTGCTTGTCAATGTATGTCGAAACAATCGCGGCAAACAATCTAACAGTTAGTTTTCGCGTGCGCGCATAAATTATGCATCGTTGGCGCGCGAACACGCGAGCCCGACACTTACGCAAGCGCAACTCTTCCCTCTGTTTATAGATGTCATTTCACTTTGGCTTCGGAGAAACCATACTCTTCGACGGCTGGAAGACGACGGATCTGAACGGCATCATCGGCTCGATGGTCGGCATCGCGATCATGGGAATGATCTACGAAGCTTTGAAAAATTACAGGTGAGCGATCCGCGAAACGACGCTTCGAGCGAAAGCCTTACAAAACTCCTTTTCAGGGAATATCTCAACGTAACCAGCGCACTCCACAATGTCCACGGCTCCCAGTCGAGAGTGTGAGTGACACGGAAGGGCAGTTCGCTCTCCTACCGAATTTCAAATTGACAGTCCGATAATTCTTGCAGAGAGCGCATGTTCTCCGCGGTGCATATCGTGCAAACAGCACTCCAGGCAGTCCAAGTGGTGTTGGGCTACTTTCTGATGTTCATATTCATGACCTACAACGTGTACCTTTGCATTGCTGTGCTCGTCGGCTCTGTCCTGGGTTACTTCCTCTTCGCTTGGAAATCCTCTAGATGCGATATTAGCGAGTGTTGCTTGTGAATGCTTTCTTCGCGGACTCGAATTATTATTTTTTTTAACTGTGATACATTATACCAGTTTCAGTCTCTTTATGTATACGCGACGGATAAATTTGTTATAATGCTTGATTATGACACATTGAGTATTAATTAATTCATTAAGATTTTATACAACTTTTAATAAATCTATTATATTGTCTTAATTTGAGGCTTCGGTGAGTTTCAATGACACCCTTAAAAAAATATCCTTCAATTTATGCTTTTCGTACTGTTTTAAAGTTTTCATGCTGAGTAAACATCCCGTTTTCTTGGTTTCATGAACAGCGGTTATTTGAAAGTCGTTACGCAAATAAACTTATTAAACATGCTGATATTGTAACAAAGAATAATTTTGCCATGAATTTCCTGAAGTGATTAAATTTCCATCTTGTTTCATTTAGTCCAATCATCTATCAGATTAGATGACGAAGCTTGAAAAATTCACGATACTCGCGAGCCAACATATCAGTAGCTGCTCAGGCGTCGGCTCGGAGCAATGTCTTCGACGACTAACCGGAACTTTTGCAGCAATAGCCACAGCTCGACCAAGTTCTGCGTTACCAAGCCTAAGACGGCTAAGGAGATATTATTCGGTTGGGATAAATTTAATTCCAGTTGTCTTGGTCTGTTGCTGCTTGCATTTGCCATATGGAGCTCGGTTTACTTTACTTCTTACGTGCCGGGGAATAACGACGGCGGTAATGGTATGGAGTATGGTCCCGGAGATCCCGGACACGGAGAGCACGAACGTCATTTTCAGTGGGTTTGACACTATTTTACGAAGCCGTATGCAAAATACAAACGTACTTTGTGGAGATAACGACGCGCGTAATATTTCTTATACTAAAATTACAGTTTTTGAACGACTCGTTGCTTGAGAAGGAAGAGCAATCAAGAGGAGCTGAATTTTGCAGGTGAAAAGCGTCCGCTTTGTCGAATTGCCGAGGGACAGAGAAGTAAATGCCGAGGGCTAGGAAAACACTTGAAACTTTGACTATGCCTCTCTTTGCTTGCTGTTGGGGTGGATCATTCTAAGATCTCCGAGCAACTTGCTGTGCTTTAATTTAAAATAAACTGCCATTCATACTGCAAATACTTTTGCTCGACTGATTTTGTTTTCTTGCTTGGCATAATATTACCTTTTTAATGCTGTCCTATTGTTACGACGAGTTTATAGTATAAACGTTTCTTCTGACATTTGAAAAAATTGTTCCACGTGCAGGTGTTGCGCTTTTATTGCGTTGGCCAACGCAGCATTTTACGAGGATTCTTGCAAATGGTCAATCAGAAAATTTGAGAACAGCTGCTATAACATTGATGTTTGTCACATTATCTCCAACGTCACTATATGAAATGTACAACGAACTGCGCTCATTCAAAAAAGAATTATAGTTTTCACGGAATCGATATCAGGCATTCCGAGCGTACACTCGATATCTATCATTATGTCCACTTGAAAATTTGAACATTCCGGTGCGATTACGCGCCAGCGGGTAGCTCTATACACCGCGAACGTGATCGCACTCTGTAAAAACGCTGCAAAGGTATGGATTGATTATTTTCGAAAAGTGTTTGCGCTCTCTTCGTGTAGAATCGAATTTCCGAGCGGGCACTCGACGAAGTTACGCGTCCATATTTGCGAAAAATTGTAACTTATTGGTATCGGTCGAAAAAATGCATCGAGGCATTCGACAATTCACAACCAGTGTTTCATTCATTTCAAAATAATTTTGTGGTTACCTTAAAACTCACAAATTTGAACAGATGAAATTTTTAAAACTAATTTTACCGGTAAATAAGGTATACGTATCACATTAGTAATCAACTTATTCTATAATAATATTATCGACGCCAACAAAGCTGTGCGCATGCATTTAATTAGCAATCAGCGCATGAAACATCATCGTTAGCGATCCGGCGATTATCTCTACTCGCGCATGAATAGAACCCGTGAGGAACGATTCGATATGCCAGTCAACGTGTTAATGAGTGTGTCAGCAACGGTTATCGAAAAAAAAGCACAGACAACAGCAGACGACGAGACCCTCTCGACCTACTGCAGTTTAACTGTTAACGAGCCTTTCAACTTTGCGATCTTTTGTCATACGGATTTTTGAAAAACGATGCTTTTAAACGCCACCTCGCCGGTACGGAGTACGTTCCAGTTTTTTCAAGAGCACAGGCACACACATGGGCGATGCAGGCGACTTTACCGGCTTTTCATGTTGCGCGATTTTTTTTTTCGTTCTTTCCTTTTCCGCAATGGAACATACTTACGAATGCAGTTCGTCGGAATTCTTTTTCGGTGAAAATTGTTTGGAAAGTCGAAAATGCTCTTTTGTTTTCATCTATGAATCGTACGCTGGGAATTTTAGATTTTATAATGTGGATTTAATCAAAATTTTTTTAAATTTAAAGGTTCGTTGACGTTTTTGTCAGACATCTTGTAAAGACAAGTTTTTCTATACAAATTATTGCACGTGATTTTTTTCAACAAGTGAATTTTATTTTATCGTTTTGATTAAAAAAAACGAAGACGAAGCTTTTTCCAATGGTTCGAATAAATTTTATTTTATATAAAAATCACTGAAATCATTATTAATTTCATAAAATAATGTGTAAGAGTCTCTTTTTGCACATTTTTGTCTTGTGAAATATAAAAACTAATAAACATTATTCAATGTTGCAATACCAAACGCGAAATCGCTAACTCATTGGATGGAAAATGCCAAAAGTTAACAATAACTATATCATTATCTGACTCCCTTTCATTAATCCTGTAAGTAGCTTAACGAGGTAAAAAAAAGACGAAAATTAATACAGACTTTGCGAGATTGAAATAGCGGCCGAATTTCCCAAACTTTATTAGACTCAAGGAGCCAAGCCTTCGTACATAATTACTATACAACGTAGTCGAGGTAGCCCACAAACTTGGCTGTTCAGCGAAGATCCTAAATAAGCTTTCTCGATTTCCTGAATCGAGCTGAATCATTGAAGGTCGCGTGACCTGATAAATCTTTCGACGAAATTCAAATTATCACCGCGGTAAAAACCCTTTGAAAAATAACAAGGTCGGTCATTTCTCGAAATAGAAGAAATAAAGGAAAGGACTATCATTGGCGGAAGTTCATTTTTGCATTTTTCAAAAGTACAAACGTATTTATAGTTGCGCGCCCTGCATCTCGAGGTCTCGAGAGGGAGGGAGAGAGAAATCAATTCGTCTGAAATTCAAATGAAGCGTCAAGCAGCGAAGTTTCCGAATCGGAAGCGATTTCTCTCTTGGTGCCTGTTAGCAGATAACTCGCGAAATTGTCGTCTGGTTTTACGGAGCCCTTCACCTTCGTTTCCCCTTCACTGCGAGTTACGGGAGCTATAGCCAAATTTTCGCCAGACTCCCAGTCTTTTATTTCGCCTTTTGAAAAAGTCAAACCGTCGATTTGTATTTCGTATTTAATTAATTCTCTTCGTCCCGTCGATCGTATCTCAATGTGGAATGCAACCATTTGTGCATCAGGTGTGGCGCCAGCATAACGGCTCCCGCGAGGTGGAATTGCAGAGCGACTCTATGCGCGCTATCGTCGAAACTCATGATAGCGGCTTTGATCATTACACTTTCAATGGTGTCCTATATGCAGAACCACAAATTGGCGGTGAGCTAATATTCAAAGGAAAATATTTTATCGTTCAATATGGAATTTGCAAATCTTTCATAGTTTTCCACTCCGCTTCGATCAACAAATTAGACAAGAACGCTTATGTTCTAGTGGAAATCCACAGAAGACTTTGTGATTTGTATTTCAGATCAGAATATGTTATTAGAATGAATATCGATTTGATTATGGTCGATTTCGAGTAATTATCGAATGATTGAAAAAATGAAAGAAATGTGGAGGAAATATAGATACGATAATAATTTCTTTTATTTATGGGACGAAATTATAATATACATTCTTTTTTCATATATTTGCTAGAGGAGACCAACGGTCGTGATATCAGACTTAATTCCTTTACACTGGAAACCGATAACAGATGCTAATGTGTTAAGCCTTGGCTTACGATTACGGATAAAGCTTTCAGCAGTGTAAAATGGCATTATACAATTAAGTTGATACGCCAATGCAAATTGTAAAGCGCGCATTTGCACGAAAAAACAAACATCGTACCTATGGCACGTAAAAATTCACTCGGTAGTTTAGTTTAGCGCAGTTTTATAAATAAACGAACTCACCTCGACGAGCAAATACGGAAAAGCGAGCGCTAATGCGTCAACGCAAAACGCGAAGAAGAGGCGTACGCGTGGTCGGACATTCGGGGCCAGGTGCGACAGCGCGGAAAAACGAGAGGTGAGGTACCTCGGACTTGGCGGGCGCGAGAGCGCGGAAAACGGGGCATGTACCGTATTCAAAAGCGCGCGCGGAAAGATGGAAAAAGAGCGAGCAGAGCGAACGCGAGCCTGCTGCTTGTATTCCTATATACCTTTTTGCGAGCGGTCGATAACTTTGTGCGACGGCGAATCGCCCCCCCCCCCCGCCCCGCCCTACCGTCTTTACGCCTCGAGCTCACGCGAGACGAGGAGATTTTCGACGGATGGAATTCGTCTCCCACCCCCGTTCGAAAATATATACGCTCCGGAATGGTGTGTACGTAGCGGATTTCGAGAGGGATTTCTGTTTTACCGGCTTGGACATTTTCGGTCCGTTCGCTTTTATCTACGATTGTAGGCTGTTATTATTTATCTGTAAAACTCAGTTTGCAAATTTTACGAAGTCACGTATTTTGTAATGTTTTTTTTTAAGAAACATCTCAAACATTTCATACTCCTTGCTAATATGATCTGATATGAACTAAATGCTTAATGAGCTTAATAAAGAGTCTTATAAAAACACGCAGTAACGTCATTTACCATTATATTTGTGAACTCGGTACTGCGTGACAAATTGAGAGCGTCCTCGGGGAGGCGTGTTTTATTTGATATTCGTGTCGCTTGCGTTTTGCAAGGGGAATTCAGCTATTCTTGGGTCCCCAGGTTCGAGTTGCATTCGATTCAGCTAACAGGAACTTTTCGATAATGAGTCTTTGAAGTCTCTCAGTAGTCGAGAGATTAAATAAGGGAATCTTTACTCTTAAAAATTCTTCTTCGTGATCTTCATCA